CCTCCCACCCCCGGTAGCGCCCCCACTCCCACCAGTCCTGGCTGCACCAGAGCTTTTCACGGTACGAGCTTGTCCCAGGGCTGTCCCAGAGGTGAGGGGAGATGGGGTTGGGTGGCTGACCTGGAGGGGATGATGCGTGTGGTGGTAAGGGGCACGGGGAGGGAAATGATTCAGGAGCTGCTGCCTTGGCCACAGCTGAGGACACGGGTGACACAGAGCCAGGCCCACCAGGGCAGGAGCTTCCCACTCCCCAGGTGCAGCTTGCTCTGCAGGCCCGCTGCCATGTGTGGCATGGGGTGGCTGTGCAGCTCCTGACAGTGCCTATCACAGGACAAGGCCAGGCCCCTACTCACATTAATGCCACTTCTCTCCTTTCCCAGGAATCCCCAGGGCCAGCGCTGGGGCCAGGCAGACCCGCAGCCCCCAGGCACCCCCCTGTCCCCTTCCTCGGCCCCTTTGCAGCTCTGCAGGACCCCCCTCCCGCTCAGGAGCCCCCAAGCGTGGCACAAACCTCCCCGCAGGTGAGCAGGGCAGGGCCAGCATCCCCTCTCTGACCTAGAGCAGGAAATCAGAGCTTTATTAACCCCAAGTGTGATGAAGGGACGGCAGAATTTGTGTGATACAGCTGCAGGTACAGACAGGGGCTTGGGTCCAGCTGTATAGCTTTGAGGCAAGGGAAGGGTGAATATAGGGTCCCTCCTATGACTGGAGGAACTCTGGGCATTTCAGCAGCAAGAGCAGGCAGGGAGGGGACAGGCAGCTCCTCAGCCTGACAGTGCCCACACACAGAGGGGGGGGGTTCATCCAGTGCACCAGGACAGCAGAGGGGCACAAGCTCTTCTTTCTTTCCATGCTCTGCCTCAAGCCCTTTCTAGGAGGAGACTCATGAAAAAGTCATGGTTCAGCCCCAGGAACCAGCAAAACCCACAGCAAGGGTGGAGGCGATGCTGGGTGGTTAATAAAGTTTTAACCTTTTGCTGGTTTTTTTGCCTTTTTTGGTACAGATATACACATATATATACACATGTACACACACACACACACACAAACAGATACATTTGGCCCAAAGGAGCCTCCCAGCACTACCTGGGCACATCCAGGGACCGAGACATTCACCACAGCTGTATCACCCCCTGCTCCCACCCCCCCCCCAGCTCCACAGATCACAAAGGGGGGGAGATGGAGCAGAACCAACGATGCACCCTGGCTCTGCCCTTGCCATTACAGAGCATACAGGGCCCAGACAAGCTCTTATCAGCCCTCCCCAGGGTGTTTAGGCTGCTCAAGGCACTACAGGAACCCACAGCAGGCTCAGCCTCCAGCCACCCAAACACAGCACAGGGCTTGTGCTCTGCACCACAGACGAGAGCACAGCAAATGGCCTTCAGCACTGCTAGGGCTCAAGGGATGTGCCAGGGCCAGCAAGGAGCAAAAGGTAACACAGCAAGAGGGCCACGATAAGGAGCATTTGCTTACAATCTTTATTGAAGTCATACAAAAGTTGCCAAAAAGTGAAAAAATACACTATATACAAAACCATTTTCCTTGTAAGGAGAGGAGTGTCCAAGGTTAAAGAATTATCATACTGTGCTTTCAACTGCAGCCCCTGATTCTGCTTGTGGCCTTTTCTCTGTCTAAAAGAAGAAGAAAAGGTTCTGTTTGTATAAAAACAAGACACTGCCTTACAGCACTGATTCATGCAGCAGTTCAGGGTTTCTGTGATTTGGAGACTTAACCAACTACCTGTGCTTTGCTGATCTTCAGAGCCCAACGATACTCTAAAATATTGATGGTAACCATTGTAAAATATGGATGTAGCCACTGTGAAACCCAGGAGTATTAAAAATACTTTGGGGGAAAGTATTTTCCACTGTGCTGTGGTTCAGGCCAACGGGAACACCCAGGACGTGTTTCTGTCCCACCCCACAGGTTGCCGGTCCCCAGCTGCTGCCTTCCCAGCCCACAGCATCAGACACCAGGGTACAACATGCATCCTGCCAAACAGGGAGCATTCCCCACCTCACCTGGGGAGCTTCATGAAGACCAGCAGGCAATACAAACAGCACAGTTACCAGGCACAAAGCCATGCCCGAACAGAGGGGGGAAACAAAAATAAAAAGCACAGCACAGACTCCTGCCTCAGCTGCCCACCTCCTCTTCCATCTTTTCTGCCACCTCGTTTCCGCTGCAGGCAGCATCGCCACCACCACCATTGACAGCCGGCTCTGCTTTAGGTTTCTTAGCTTCACTGTCTCCCTGTTGAGTCTCTTCCTCTGGTTTCCTCTGAAGACAAAATTGTTTCAGTCTTCACTATGTATAAATTGAAGTATTTTTGTAGAAAGTCAGCATCTAGGTGCCATTGCACATTAAATCTACTCAACCTCTGCTTCCCAGGTTCAGGACAGACATTTAAGTGTTAGGATACAACCAAAGCTCTGAAGCTTTGGTACAGAGGTCTCAAGCACAGGGGATTCTCAGTAAGACATTTAGGTGCAGGTATCTCTAAAGGGCTGGATTATCCTTATAGTTTGGCGAGGAAACATGCAGCTGCTGAGCCAGGTAACAGCTGAGGGGGTAGATTTAGGGCATCTATGACATTTACAATCACCTGTGTAAAGCAAAGTTGCTCCAGGCAAACCTGAACTTAAGGAGCCACAGAACAGAGGCCAGGCTGTGCCACAGCAGCACACAAAATAAAAACTAAGATCCCACAGCAGATAATTATGATTCTATCGTAATTTTAGTTGTATTTGCATATGGTTCCAGAAAAAAAAATATATATACCTTGAAAGGAACCCAGTGGTCAGCACATTGAATTATCTCAGCAAATCAGTTTAGCATTACTACCATTGGCATTGCTCTTTATTAAGTCCAGTTCTCCATTTCCACTTGGAAAGAAGTGAACCCAGCACTGCCTGGTTGCTTGCCCTTTTCCCAAGATCCAGGGGCCACCCTGCAGGTCCTCAGCAGAGGAAACACCTGCAGATGCCACTGAGCTCTGCAGTTAAACCAGTGTGGGTCAGGTAGGGTGCACATCAGGAGCTGGTCTCCTGCAGGCAGGACAGTTCCCAGACTGATGGGCTCCCAGTGGCAAGGAGTTTCACACACTATTTCTGGTTTTACTTTTAGAGTGTTTTTTTTCCATTACAGAATTAAGAAAAAAGCTTTAAGCCAAGAAACCCCATTTACAGAGCAAGCCAGTGGTACTTCAACTGTCTGTTCAACTTCTGGACTCACCTTTTTCCTGACTAGGTGAGAGATGTCTGTAACACACTGAGATGCACCATCAGCTGCTTTCCTTACTGGGATCTGTTACCAGACAGACATTGACACATGAGTAACAGCAAACAGCAGTCTTCAGAGGAGACAGGAATTGTCAACACTGATGTTAAATTAACTTACTGTGGAAACAGAACCACTGTCTTCACTTTGTGCAAAGCCAGATGTAGTTCCAACCTTAAGAAAAGCAGAAGAAACAGTGAACAAATTCTGGCAAGACCATACAAGCCAGTTTAGAAAGGAACAGAAAACCCAACTCCATCTCTCAACACTGCATTCTGCTCCTACACTCATACACAGGACAGACGAAGAGCTTCTTGTATAGCAATGCACACTCCATCCATTCTCACAATTGGCTGACCTATCACTTTAGAACAACTATTGTCAGTGTATTTAATAACTGGTCTGTCTTTAGATGTCAGCTGTTGTTGCATCTTCTCACAGTCACAGCCCCTATCACCTGTAAGCAACCACCAGCCTCTGATCTGTATGATCAAGCCCGAGCTCTTCCCATTAGTGGTTTACTTCAGGTCCCACTGGAAGGCGATTTGGTTAAAAGGAAACCCCAGGATGCACTAACCAGAGTTGCTTTCAGTGCCAGCTCAGCTACTCTTGCGCTCTTTTGAGATTCCTTTGAATCTTCTATCTTTTCTTTAATTTCAGGAAGCAATCCCTTCAGTTCTTCAATCTCCTTCTCATCTTCAGGGGACCCATTTTCTGCCGCCTTTATTCGCTCAGTGAGCATTGCTAGGATGAAACATGGCAAAACCCTCAAGACAAAGTAGCTGCCTAGTTGTCTAGTTACCAATATCCAGAGGAAGTCTGCTTTGACTTATGAAAACTTCCACATGTGCTAGGCGGTTTCAGAAACCCACTTACCCAATCTCTTGTCGATGACTTCTACAGATTTACCGAACTGCAGAACTGCCTCATCAAACTGGCTGTTGTAGTGGTAGGCCAGCGCCAGCTGGTAGTGGCTCTCTGCCAGCAGGCGGTCGTGGGCCTCCAGGTACTTCTGCTGCAGGGCCAGGCAGGCCTGGAACTCCTCTATAGCCTGTGTGTAGTTTTCTACAGGAGAAAACGCAAGGTCTTTACAAACCACGCTCCCGCAACCCAAACAAGCAAGATCTAAACCCCTTATTCAGTTGCACTGGTTTATAACACTAACCTGCAACACAGCCACCATTGAGCACAGTGACAGGCTGCTTTCAGACCACCCAGTGACACTCACAGCCCTACACTGCCCCCTCCTCAGAAAAAGCCGTTTGGAGACCAGTCCCTCCAGTTGAGCTCTCAGGAGTACTTTGTCTATTCACAGTCAACAAAAGCAGCCAAGGCAAAGCCAGGCACACAAGTCCTGCTGTTCTACCTGCTGCCACCACTTGAAGGTAACTGGTCAAAGCTGCAACTTGGATCTAGAGCTACAGACAGTCCCCTGCTCCCTTCCAGTCGAGCTCTCCATTGAATGTGTTCCTGTGACATAAAACACAGCCTTCCTTACATAGCCCTAGTCCAGAAACCCATCAGATTACTCCAATGCTTGCCACAGAGAAAGATCGCACCCTACTTGAATTTAACAGGATTCAAACACATTTAAAGGAAGGGCAGGTAAGACATTAGAAGGCACAAACCTGGGACTTGCTCCCCACTCCTTTGTTCTGTACCATAACCCTGAGTCTTTCCTGACCATACCCTAAGATTTTGGAAAGTCTAAGAGTCAATCTGTTGATTTTTAAATTTTTTGTTTAATTTACAGCCTTTACGTTCTGGAAGCAGCATGGTACCTTCCCATTGAGCTCAGGGACTCACTACTTCAGAAACTCAGACTTTTTCCTTACTGAAGTTACCTAAGCCTTGCCTATACAGCAGGACACAAGGCTGGTTTTGACCTGGTAACACATTACTTTTACTCCAAGCTTTTTTCCCCACTGTTCTGGAAAAGCACAGAATATTCTGCTTGAGGCACCAACTTGTTCATCCATTGACTCCAAAGCTTCTCACATGGCTGCACTATCATAACTAAACAAAGTCTATTTTGTTTCCATCTCAACAGCCTTAACTCACCTCAGCTCATCTTCAAGTACAAAACAGCAACAGAAAGTAGAACTGAACGTTTTGTACATGAGAATCTTACTTACCAGATTCAATGCTAACTTCTCCTAGCTTTAGATGGGCTTGAGCTGCATGGAGCTGAGCTTCTTTTGTTTCTTGTCTAAATCAAGAAGAAAAAAGTAGTTTTCAAAACCCTGATCAGAATATGCCACATTCCCCAGTTGCTCATGCACCCCCAATTTCCAATGAGTTCCTCTAGCACGTATCCAAATTAGGACTTAAGCCCTTACCTCTTGTAGATGACTTTTGCTAACTCCAGCATGTCCCAGGCTAGCTCCAGATTCCCAATTTCATCCTCCTCACTTTCCTGCAAAGACTGGAAACGCATTGAGGATTAAGTGACTTGGTTACTTATCACATCAAACAGCACCACTACATTTCTAAGCAGTGTTGTCAAGGAGTTTCTTTAACAGATAAGCAGTTTATCGCTAGAAAGAAAAAAAGAACATGCAGAAGAGGTTACTGCCACAACTGAGACTTTGCCTGCAGTGAGTGAAGGTGTTTCAGTGAAACATAAGCTTACGCTCTTAGCTGATATGGCCTTAATTTTTTCCAGAAATAACAGGAAACCAAAGGCCACTATTATCCTATGAAACAGCATTCTAAACAAAATCTTATAGAAGATGTACCAAAAACTAAGCAAAGGAGTTCGTGTTCCACGTTTTTAAGTGAGGCTTTGAACTCCCAAGTCTGAGACAAACATTCAAGACTACAGCATGCTTAGTACCACGTAACAGGCTTGATTTGTTTCTAGGTGTATGGACTGCTACATCAAGGTGATGTCTCAGATTTCAGCAACACACTTCCCACTCAATTCCCATCCCAGTCATGGCTTGTTGGGCTGGGTACATTAAACGTACTTAGTGAGACAACAGCAAAACAAGCAGAGAATAAACTGTTACAAGCCACTAAGTGACAAGCTAGAGCAACTCTCCCTGCCTGCTCCTGCCTTTACCAGGCTTCATTGCTAATCAGTAGACTGCAAGAATTTTCTTCAGCATAGCTAAACAAGCCCAAGTTTACAGAGTTGAGCATGATCCTACAATGTGGACTATGCATACTGTTGTCCCTTACTTAGGCAATACTGGTTTTCAAAAGCCTTTTCTTTTCAAAAGCACCATCCCAAGTGCCATCACACGGCACA